ATATATATATATATATTCTTACTCCTGTTATATTTTAAACATACAAGACTATCTAATTATATTATAATAAATGCTTACATAAAAGTTTATCTAACCATACCTTGAGTTAGACATGCCATTCTAATCTGGCCTATGGGTACCCGCCCTAATTTGAACGGAGAAACCCATGTTCACTAGGTTCAGATTCGGGTTCAGATTTTTCCTAATTGGTAAAATCAAGAACGGGATAGGAATGAAGATGTTAATACCCGCCTCTGCCCCCATCTTACTTAATAATATAATTAAAAAATTATCCTTATATATATAAAAACTAAAATTAGAAACCTTTATATATAAAAATTTGTATTATTTTACTTTTTATTTATTAATTTTTTCATATTTGTAACGACCCGTCATGGTCTCTACACTTAGTGGAATCGCACTACTACTAGTGAACTAAGAGAAATAATAAGTTGGATAACTCATACATATAGGTATAGATAAGAAAAAAAATAACTAAGTTTCTTAAATACAAAATAGAACTCCATATATGTACAGTCATCCCAAAAATAATATTCCCTAGTGCCGGTCAAGCACAGACAATACCATTACCCAAAATGGTAACTCTAACACGAGGATCAAACTCCTCGTCTCGTAGTGGTCACCTCAACTCCAAGCTATCTCTGACCTGCTCCCATACCAAGTATGATCATCGCAGTCCCACCACATGGAAACAGAAGGGTAAGCTAGAATTCAAACCCAATCATACAAGTACAGAATAAAATCTATACTACACATCATCCAACTATCAATCATGTTCATAGAGTCACACAATACACTTTATCCAATACTACTCATGCATAAAATACAATCCACCAATCATGAAGTCAAACACCACACTTCATCATATTAATAATCATGCAATAAATGCATCTCATGACAGATATCAATGCATATCAATCATCTAATGCGTCGTCACGCATACACCTAGGAGATCTCCACAACAATAGAGCTGTATAAGTGACATTATTGAAACCACCTCAACCATTTTCACGCCCAATGCGCCCGCTCGGTCACAGCTAAACAGGATATAATCCTCACTCAGGTTTATTCGAATGATGTCACTTACACAATTGAAAGTCTAGATCCACCATCAGGTATAGCACAGCTGGGTACAGGCTTACCACGACCTTGGCATGCATTAACCAAGTCAATTGTGGAGTTCGCCCACCGACTATCCGCAAGGATCCACGCACCTTCCCGAGTACTTGGTTAAGGGAATAACCCTCGACCTCATACCCCGCTCCAACACTAGCTAAGGACTTAGAGGAGACTCACCCAACCCAGTGGCCTATCTGAGCACCACTCTCCCAAATCCAGTGGCCTCCCAGAGCACCACTCTCATATATCAGTGGTCTATCCAAGCACCACTCTCAAGAGACTCTATGTGAGCTCTTCCAGTTCGAAAATATTTTTCCTCTCCTCAAGTCCTAGGCTAGACTCATGCCATAAGGCATCACATGCAATAATGCATCATACATCATACATGGTCTACCCACCATCATGATCAACAATCATACACATGTCATAAGACATCACATGCAATAATGCATCATACATCATACATGGTCTACCCACCATCATGATCAACAATCATACACATGTCATAAGACATCACATGCAATAATGCATCATACATCATACATGGTCTACCCACCATCATGATCAACAATCATACACATGTTATAAGACATCACATGCAATAATGCATCATACATCATACATGGTCTACCCACCATTATGATCAATAATCATACACATATGAACATATACTCATGCCATATCATATTTAAACATTCATATATATCATCACTATGCATACATATGAATCACACCTCACCATACATCACATATCATACATACATGATCCAAAACTTCAACTTAACATGCATTAGCATCATTTCATTCATAAACATATTCATGCCCGGCACAGCTTGAGCTCGCCCAACCTAATCCTAACCTGAGAGTTCTAAAACTCATCCACGCCCGGCGCGTTCAACTCACGCTCGGTTTCCTTGAGACAGAGACTACTAAGCTTTTTCACGCCTGACGCAACCAAATCACGCCTGACCCAACATCCAACCCGAGAGCCCTAAGCTCTTCTACGCCTAGCGCGCTCAACCTGCGCCTAACCTAATCCCAGTTAGAGAGTTCCAAACTCTCATCCAAACTAACAAATCCAACCATATGCAAACACAAAAAAATACAATGCATAGGCTCCATACAACACAAAACAAACTCAAAATTAACATGCACCCATCTGATGCATCAAATTCACCAAAAACCCAATTTTTCTCAAAACCCCGAAAAATGAGCGAATTCTCCGATCCAGCCATGGATCCTCAACTTTCATGCATCAATTGAGTTTCTAAACTCACATGCAACTTAAAAAACAAATATTCTAG